AAACCCACTAGGCAAAAGCTTGATGGGAAATTTACAATGGATAGATCCAATACCTAAACCCACTGATCAAACTTAATGCCAAGAGGTCAGCCAACCATACACTAGGTCTCTTGAGGAAATGCACTAAGATATCAATATAAACTTGCACGAAGGATTCTCTAGAGCACCACCACCATCAGAATTAACCTCAAGGGGTGCCTGGGTAGTTCAGTAGGTTAAGCATTCAACTTCAGCTCAGGTCTTGATCTCGTGGTTCCTGGATTTGAGCCCTGCATCAGGCTCTCTGCTGTCAGCACAGAGCCCGCTTTGGATCCTCTACCCCTTCCCTCCTGGTTCTATCTCTAAATAAATAAATAAACTTAAAAAAAAAAAAAAGAGTCAACCTTGACTCTGATTAAGCCTCAGACCTACCTACCAATTTAAGAGGCTATTCATAAAAGAGAAACATATTAACAACCACCAAAGGGATGCAATCAACAAAGTCCATAATGTGGGAAATTCTAAAGAAACAACACAATTTTTTTTCAATAAGGAAACTGAAAGAAAGAGAAAAGAAACTACATACTAAGATAGTTAAGAGACATACCAACCAAACCAAATGTGACCTCATTTGGGTCCTGACTTGAACAAACCAACCACAAAAACATTTATAAAACAAATGGGAACAACACTCACTGGATATTTGCTATTAAGGAGATATTAAATTTTTAGATGTGACAATGGATTTGTGGTTTTGTTTTTTTCCAAATGCTTACCCACTACAGACATATAAAAGAGTATTTACAAGTGAAGTGATACAATATCCAGGACTTGCTTTAAAACAACCCAGCAAGGTACAGGGGGACAGGCCGTTTGGTGGCACATAGAGGTCACAAAATTGACCATACGGTAATAATTATTATTCTACTCCGTGTCTGTATACACTTCCATTATTAAAAAGAAAAAAAAAAGGCAGGAAATGAAGTCTGATCCAAGCTCTTCACCTAATTACAGAACCTTTTTCACCTACCACCTAAAATAATAAATACCAACCAAAGTAAAGTAAAATAAAATCTAGCAAAAGGTTTAGCAATACTGACAAGAGAAAGCATGTAAGGCCTCTGCCACAGCCTCACAACATGAGAAGATTGTGGTGAACAGCAGTGTGAGCCCAAATGCAACTTTCACAAAGTGCACGAAGCGTGAGGGGGAAAACTGGGTCGGGGATACGGGTATTCCTTACGCTGTGCTCTCTACCTGTGCATCTGAAGTTCCCATGATAAAAAGTGATCACCACAGAACACATTTACTTGATTTTCCGCATATATCAGTCGCTTTCTGACTTGCTGTCTTTCCACTTTTATCCTTTTACTTGCAACCACCAAGGGAGGGGGCAGGCAGGGGACCGTAGTCACCAACAATACGTGCTTACTGGGTGGGAAATTTAACTAGCAAAACTGAAATGTTTCCATGTTGTGCTAGAAAAATCAAGACTGATTTTACTGTAAAACGTCCCATTTTAACTGAAAACCTGGTTTGTGGTCTGTGGAAATTACGAAGGCATCTGCTTTCTCCCTTTCTTTTTTGAAAAGGAAGCTGGACCAGAGAGACTCTTGTGTAATTTGAATTTGGATGTGGTGTTTGCAGAGGATTATGATCTTCCCCAATTTCTAAGCGGTTCCATCTGTTTTTATGGGAAATTTGGCTTAGAATGACTTTAGAAAATGAAGAACCAAGTAAGGAATCCAATCGCCTTTACAATTAGTCTTCGTATATTCTTTGAGTGGTTTTAAGAAATAACAGAACCAATGAAACATTCATTGCAAAAAAAAAAAAATTTCTTTTAATTGAACCTGGAGCTGATAAAAAGCCTCTGTATGTAACTATCAATTTACAAAACAGGAACAGGTTAAAACTACACCATGGTTGGGGGGTGGAGGGGAAGGAGTATCCAGTTAGTTTGATCAGTTAAGTGTCTTAAGTGTCAGACTCTTGATTTCAGCTCAGGTCATGATCTCACGGTTAATGTGAGTTGGGAGCCTGGATGTGGGATCCTCTGTCTGCGCAGAGCCTGCTTGGGATCCTCTCTCTGCCCCTCCCTTGTTCCACACGTGCATGTGCTCTTTCTCTCAAAAATAAAACAAACTTAAAAAAAAAAAAAAAAACTATGCCACAGCAAACTAAAAAATAAGAATGATACAGGACAATCCAATTTCTTAAAAAAAATAAACTACAAGTAAATATAAAAAGAGGAAAGGAGACAGCCTATAAAGAGAATCACTAATCACAATGTATACACCTAATCTGGATCCTGATTCAAACAAAAAACTGAAAGAAAACAAAACAATGGGAAATCTGAACAGTGAATATTTGATGATATTAAAAATTAATTTGTTTAGGTGTGATAATGGTATTGTGATTTTTTTTCAAGTCATAGCTTTTAGAAATACTTACAGGGGCACCGGAGTGGCTCAGTCGGTTTAAGAATCTGACTCTTGATTTCAGCTAAGGTTATGATCTTACAGCTGGTGGGTTTGAGCCCCATGTAGGGCTCCACGCATGCAGCATCTGCTTGGGATTCTTTCTCTCTTTCTCTCTCTCTCTCTCTCCCCCTCTCTGCCCCTTCCCCATTCTCTCAAAATAAATAAACTTTAAAAAGGAGCAATACATGTAGATGGAACAAGATGCCTAGGATTTGCTTCAAAATAATATAGTTACAGTCGAAGTGAACAGAGATACAGATAAAAGAAAGGTTAGCCACGAGTTAATCACTGTTAAAGCTAGGAGGTAGGTAGGGTCATCAGCATACTATTCAATTTTTTTTTTTTTTTTTAAGAGAGAGAGAGAATCTCAACCAGGCTCCATGCTCAGCACAGAACCTAACATGGGTCTTGATCCCATGACCCTGGGATCTAAATCAAGAGTCAGATGCTCAACCAAACTGAGCCACCCAGGTGTCCTTCAATTTGCTTTCATACATATTTAAAACTTTCCAAATAAAGCTTTTTCATTAAAAGAAAGGAAATGACAAAATTGTCATTTTGTCTAATGACTAATGTCTAAAAAAAACAGTTATACATTTTTTTACCTAAAGTAGAATATTAACAAATAAATTTAGAATTAGTATTTTTTCATCTTGAAATTGTCAGAAAATTTCAGCAAGTCACCAAGTGAGACCTGGAGAACACCGTGATGGCCCCAAAGTCCAACCTCCCACCCTGTGAATCTTCCTCCCACCTCCCAACGGGCAATTAGCAGCCTCTGGCAGAGGTCCTTCAAACCTTGGGAAGGTCACTTCCTTCTAATACAGCCCACTCCATCCTCTGCCTACTCCAACTGTCAAAAAGTTCCTCTCATACCAGAAAGGAAATTTCCCTTCTCCAGATCTCAGTTTTACCCACGGAAAATGGGTTTTTCAAACACGTTCCTGAGTTGTGAAATCAAGTTAGTAAATCGGTGACCAGCATTTTTATTATTATTGTTGTTATTATCATGCAGGAAAGAAAATCTCAGAGTGAACTACGCGTGGTAAAGCTAAGACCTAATTTGTGAAGCTTGTTTCTGTTCTTTATGTACACACATGCCTACAAACACACACAGACTTCCATACTGATAAAAGGGCCAAGATATAAAATCTATGTCTTACGGTACCTTTTGTCAAGAAAGAAAAAAGTGGAAAGTCAACGCTCAAAAGACTGCTCTCAAAACACCTCAACAAGCTGCCGACCCCAGCAAGTCTTACCCCTTCAGTTATCTCAAACAGCCAGTTCTTCATGTTGGTATAGCTTCCCCTAACCTCAACATCCCAGGCACCCTTCCAGGCACAAGGCTTCCGTCTGTCTAATCTTCCACTGGTTTTTATCAAACAAATATATACTTAGTCCATACTACGTGAAGTATCTAAAAATGAATAATACGTTCCAAGTCAAAACAGAATAATCAATTACAGCCCACTTCCACCCTTCAAATTTTCATTTAAAAACATCCTTTGAGATACTGGTAGAGACAACCGCTAAGTGAGAAAGACTAAGCCTGGAAAGAGAGTTGAGTCAACAGATTATGATGGCAGATGAAGTCTTGGGTCACATAAAATTAGAGCAGAGAGTCAAAGGACAGAAACCTAGGATACAGGGAAAAGCTGAAGGGACAGGCAGAGAAGTCTTCAAAGAACGGAAGTAGTAGAACAAAGCACTGCAACATGTCAAAAGAGAATTTCAGAGACAGTGCTGCGTCAAGAGTGTCAGAAGTAATACAGGGGAAGACAGCATTCAATAGATCTGACAACAGGGTCATCTACTACCTGGGAAAGAGCGATTTCAGTGCAGTGGTAAGACCCCAAGTCAGCACTGAGGAACACAAACGCATCTACTACTTTTTAATAAATCTTCATTCACATTGAAAAGAAGGCCAAGACTGCCCTGTTTTAGAACCCTTTCAAGGGGCTTATAATTAGGCAGACTTAATTTTATTTCCAAAAAATTTCATCTTACTAATTTAACCAATTTGCATACAGCTCACTAGGTTCCTGCAAACATCCGTGAAATCTGTAAATCTGATCAGACAAGCAGTCCTTGTCTGTCATCATAAAAAGCACTGGCAAAAAATACTTTATTTAGATAGGAGATGACCAACGCTAAAATTTCAGTAACAATCACCACCACAGATTTTTCCCACCACTGAACAGTTTTCTCCCAAGATCGTTATAAAGATAACCATGAAAGCTTTATCAAATGTTTTACCAAAATCCTTTGTCTATGTTTTTCCTCTAAGAAAGGGCACTTTATCTTTTTTTAATTTTTTTTAACGTTTCTTTATTTTTGAGAGACAGAGACAGAGGGTGGGCAGGGGAGGGGCAGAGAAGAGGGAGACACAGAATCTGAAGCGGGCTCCAGGCTCTGAGCTGTCAGCACTGAGCCCGGGGCACTAGAACCCACAGTGAAATCACAATATGTATCAAAGTCAGGAGCCCAACCGACTGAGCCACCCAGGCGCCCCTAAGAGAGGGGACTTTAAATTACTTTCTCCACAGAGACAAATGAATGAGCCACACACAACACCTTATATGGATCAGGCCTTCATTGGGGCACCTGAACCATTAAAGAAACAAACAAGTGGCATCATCACTTCCCCAGTGTCACTTAGTAACTGGTGAGCTGGGACTTGGCACTACAACCATTTTCCTTCTACCCTCTGCTCCTTTCAGGAAAAAAGGAAGGCAAAAAAAAGTATCGGTTACCTGGGTTGTTAAAATTCCAGTCACTAAAGACCCAAGACAAACTCCCACAAACATTTATTCTTTTCAGGACAGATCAATGATGGCCGAAGTTCCAACATTCCTGATGCTTCCAAGGTACTCAAGTGAAGACAAGGATTTTGATCGTTCAGTGGCACTGTGAACTACTGACTTTAGCAACTCCTCTATGACTTGTCCACATTCCAGATGGACTCAACATTCCATTTAAAAAAAAAAAAACAAAAAACTGTGGGGGAGAAGACCGACAGACTTACTTTCTGTATGCTTCCACTTTTCCCCACTTTCTCCTTTATAACTAAAGCCAGTAAAGGAACAAGGGTAGTTCTCATTAACTGCTTTCGAGTTTCTGTATGAAATCTACCCCTGGTGATCAAATTAAAATTAAACACTAATGCAATAGTGTAGTACTGGCTGTGGTTCTCCTCCCTGGGGAGAAGAATGCAAGTAGGAAAAGGGTAGGAAGAAGGAATTTGGGGATAATATAGGACAGCAGTTACGACTGCAGGCTCTGGAAGCAGACCACCTGGGTTCAAACCCCCGCTCTGCCATTAATTAGCTAAGTGACCCTGAGCAAGTTATTTAACCTTGTGGTGACTCAATTTTCTACAGGAAACCTAGAAAAACAGTACCTACCAGACGGGTTACTGTGGGGATTCAGTGAAAAAACTAAGCCAAAGTGCTCACAGAACAGTATGTGATACACATTAAGTATTCAAGAAATGTTATCTATTATTATTAATATTTCCTAATTCAATATGTAATGTCTTTACAAAGAAAATAATTAGACTATATTTCAATAAAGTATATATTAAACTAATTCAACATGTAATGACTTTACAAAGAAAATATACTAAGCTGTTGTATTTTCTCTAAAAGTAAAAATTAAAATATAAAATAAACTACCTCTCCCTTAGAAATCTTGCCTGTATTAGTTAGGAGAAGCCCTTCAACTATTAAGTGATTGTCAGCTTCAGCTATAATGCCAAACTTTTGATTTATAAATATGACCAATGTTTGAGGCATGCACTTTCCCCTCTACACTGCCAGATAGACCATACACATGGAAGGTTGATCTGACATTACAATAACTGTGTAGTCACATTAAAATTCAGTCAGCTGAAAAAAAATGTTTCGCTTGGTCTACTTCCAACATATTGCCAACTAAACTATGCTAAGCAAAAGAATGAACGAAAGAGAAAGAGAGGGCGCATGGGAAGGAGGAAAGGAGAAAAAAGAAAAATCTAAAATCATTGAAGTCTGGTGTAAACATAGGAACCATGAAAAACAAAAACCGTGCAGAACATCAACATTACCTAGAGAATATATTAGAGTTTGAAGATCAGCTCTGATTTGGTTTAGAAATTGTTTGGGGTTTTTTAGCACTAGCTAAAGCATTTCCTATGTCCACAATGCTGCATTCACACAAAACTGCTTTCACTGATCAAAACAATATTCAGTATTTATTCCAAAAACATGACAACTATGCATATTGCAAGTGAACTAATTTTTATTGTCCTATAAATGCAGCAATGAACATGAACTTTATTCTGGAGACTAGAAAGTGCATGCCAAAAAGAGGAGGGCAGAAATATTTTACCTATATACAAATGAAGCTATAGTATGTCTAGAATTTGCTTCAAAATAATCCTGGGGGAAGGGCAGTATCAGGCACAGAAGGGAACTATAGATGAAACACTACTGGCTGTGTCAAAGCTGGGTGAGGGAACCTGGGGTTTGTTATCCTACCATTCTCTTCACCTGTGAATATCTTAAGCTTTCCATAACAAAAAGTTTAAAAAGGACACTTCTCTGTAACTGACAATGGTACATTCCTTCTGCCAAAAATCATCTCAATAGATAATCAGATACAGTAAAAACATGAAACAGTAAAACCATGAAAAAAATCTAACAAAAAGGTCTTAAAAAAAGAGCTACATTATCCTTCACTGCTATCACGTGTGCTGCACAGAGCAAGTAACACATAGATCACGGATCTACCGAATGCTCGAAAATCTGCCTTCAAGTCTTTCCACTTAAGCTTGCAGCACTGGGGATGAAAGTGAACTTGGCCGCAATTAGGAGAAAAGCTGGAGCCACACCTGCACCACACATGCTGCCCACATCTACAGCTCCCCACTGCAGGGCTGCAAAAGCTAAGAATATCTTCCACATACCTTTATTTGTCTGTTTGCAGGTGGGGGGGAGGACAAATGTATTCGGATTCCCATATGTGCGTAATTTAAAACAGACAATCTTGGCATTAAGGAAATTAAGACCCAGGCTTTACTGATGTTGATTTTAGTGGCTAAGATCCAAAACCAGTTCTAGTTACAAGCTCATGGATAAAACTCTTGATTCCTTTGTCAGTGGACAGGCTCCACTCTTTTCATGACATTTTAACCTTTCCTATCCACAATTTTTTTTTTATTTATGTTATTAAGAAAAACGAGAGCTTTCCTTTTTTCTCCTTAAGAGAAGTGGATTAAAAAATTTTTTCAAGGAAGGGGTTCATCCAGCAGCTTTTTCTACCAGAGTCCAAATGCAATTCAACAGAGCACACTGGGGAAAAGTGAAGGGTTATCAGAGTGAACAAGGGCTCCAAAAACAAAGGGTGAATATGCACCACTGGCTGGCATATGACCCTGCCACATTTGCTTTTCAAATACTAAGGGAAGTCATTTGGCACCATTTTCCAAGAATCCCATAGGACTTCGACTTCCCTGTTTTTTCAACAGTATCTTAAAATGTTGACACATTTATTGAACTATTTTTGGAAGATCTAGCTCTGTCTACCTTCAGGGCTCAAGATACAAAAAGATGAGAGCTACAGGACAGACCTCTGGCTACAAAACTTGGCAGGCTTCCTGAGTTCTCCAAGAAAAATTCAATTGGCAACTCCATTAGCTGCAGAAGAACCCAGAGCAGAGAGAACAGCTCTGCACACAAGGAGGCCTTGGCTGGGCCTGAAGGTCCATTATGGAGCTAGACGACTCTGGGTAAGCTTAACCTCTTCCTGACTCGCTGCTCTTATCTGCAGGACACACAGTATGTAAGTGTTTTAGGAGTCAAATGAGAAAATGTTCTGATGATTTACTCAGAAAAGAGAAAAAAAAAAAACTTTACAAATTAAAACAAGATTAAAAAAAGAAAAGACACCCCTCATAAGTCTATGCCACAATCACCACATACAGTTTTATGCTGTTTCTATTAGGAGAAAGGAAAAATGTACCAATGCCCTTGATGAAGAAAATCCTATTTTGATGTTTCTCAATGTTTCTCAAACTTCACTCTCATACTAACTTTAGAGTTTTTGCCAAATCCAAACTATATTATTTACTGAATACTCATCCTTAAATCAAGTTACTTAAAATATACCTACTTTATCCTTATGCTATGTTAACATCAATGAAATCACAGGTGTGAAGCACTTGACTATTGTACACTGACATATATTTAACCACTAAAAGAAAAAGATTCATCTGTATACCACCTTAACTCATTTTAACATACCACCACACTCTGGGGAAATACCATCCTGATCTCCTGCCCGCAACAGCTTCTATGTTAATGAACAGAGTACTGTACTTGAATTCATTAAGTCTCTAAAACCCACTGAACAATTTAACCTACCCTAACCACATGCACATCTGAGTCTTGGGGGTCTTCTGGAGCTTTCTCAGTCAGACCTCTTGGCCACTACCTCATTCAAAACCTCCATTTTTGTTGCCCCAAACTCCATACAAAAATCCCTACACGAGTGTGATTCCCCCTCCTTATTTATGCCCTAGGAATAAAAGTTCTCACCCTAAAAGAATTTAACAGAATCCTCGAATTCAAAGTCCCTCCAAATCACCAAATCAATATTCAAAGAAAATTTAAGTATATATATGCGAACCACGTATCAGTCAAAAGATAAACTAGCATACTCAGAAAACTCTAAGATAACATTGCCATTTTTGGTACCTATTCACCAAATTTATTTTTACTGTATATTTTTAAATCTAATTCAAGTGTACACTATCAGATTTGTAAGCATTTGTACTGAACTAATTCTTGAAATATCACGGGGAAAAAAAATAATACATTTTCTGAAGTCTTCCTAGGAAGCACCTGCTTGTTCAAAGACCTATCAGTCATCTCCCATCCACACTAGACATTGGCCCAATTGCTCTTTCTCTTTATATACACACATACACACACACACTCATACATACATATAACTGAAGATCAACTCAGCATCCTGAATGAAGAAAAGGACAATTTTATTATGGCTGCAGTCCACAGTAATCTGGGGAATTTTATTTTTATCAATTTAAACCCCTAAATCAGTGCATTGAACATGAGTTAATTTCTGCTCCCTCCCAAAACCACACTAAAATGACAGTAAGGAAATTTTTTTAAAAGAGGGGTCCAAAAAAGGGAGGGGACAGGCCAGCAGAAGAGATATATCAACAGAATTTTAGAAGATGGAAAACAGATGTACAAAGTAACTGACTTAGCAAAGCAGAGGAAGCCAAACTTGACTCCCGCGGCGGGGGGGGAGGCCTTTAAGAAGCAATCTGAGCGCTGGAACAGGCCCTGGGAGCCTCAGGAAGCGGAGGCTCCAGATGCCCCTGAGGGCTGAGGTGAGAGAGACAAAAACAGGAGATCAGCTAGAAGCACATGGGACACTGAAACCCCCCCTTCCCTCTCCTGTTCTCACCAAACCTTTGCAGCCAAAAGACAGAAGAAGAAGTTCACTCTCTAGAGCAGCTGAAGGAAGAAAGTGTCCAGGCTTAGGGAATCCAGACACAGAGGGCAGATGTGAGGGGTACACAGAAAACAAAGAGGCCCAATCATTGTCAACAGATATTCACAAAATACAGAATAGACAAAAATATTTGCCTACTTGCAGTCTACACTCAGATGATAATAATACATACAGTGTAAAAGAGAAAAGTTAAAGATTTAAGGGATGCTGGGGCAGGTGTGGGGGTGGGGTTGTAGTTTCAAATAAATGACCATGGGAAGCAAAGATCTGGAGTTACAGGAGTAAGCCATGTAGGTATCTGAGGGGAAGCATTCCAGACACAGGGAAAGCAAGTGGAAAGGGCCACCAAGTAGGGTAAGACTGGAGATACTCCATATATTTAAAAAAGGACATTGCCAAAAAGAAAATTAAGTGACTAAGGTGCATCTTGGAAAACAGGAAAACAAAAAAATTCTGTAGAGAAATTAGAAGAGAAC